CCTGCGGAATATTACAAATTTGTATTTGTACATAAATTATATTGATAAATATAATCATAAATGCTGGAAGTTTCAAAAGCTTGAAAGTAAAAAATAGTTCTTTTTTATATTTTTTGGTATGTGGTGTCTTGTTTTTGTTTGTTCTTTATCAACAATATGTTCGGCAACGCAAGATTTATCCGGTCTACCATATCATTATTTTTTTATTAGAATGGGCATAATCAAGAGGGCTATTGACACCGTATTGTAAAAATAAGGTAATTTAGGGGTTATTTTTTGGTATTTATTATAATTTTGCTAATATCTTCGGTTTGAAAGAAGATATCAAGATGCGGTTCTCGTTGACTTTTTAAGCTTTTACTCCTCTTTACTATCAGCTAATATTAAATATACTGTCGTATTTAATTTTTTGAAAAAACGCGCTATGTTTGTTAAATTGTAAGAAAGCGCCCCCTAGCGTCTACGTTCAAAACCTTGTTATTATTATTTTTATAGTATAATATAGAGTAAGAAAAGCTCTTTTAAACGAGCCCTCGTTTATTGGATTCTGATCATCCAGAGTCCAGAGTTATTAATATTTAAATAAAGACAGATCTAACCTTCCCCCACCGCTTTATTTTACCAGATAAGGGACAATGGTTCTAACAAAAAAAATCCAAAATTTATTAAAGATTATGAAGCTATTATTTATAGTACACCTTATCTAGGCAAAATTCTGTAAAAATTATATTTTCTTATTTTCCATAGCAGTTGCGCCCTCTAGCGGCAGTTTAACAAACTTGAAAATAATTTCCAGCAATTTCTCATAGCCCCCTTAGTTATAAATATTTTTTTTTCATAGGCCCTACGGCTAATACTTTCCGAGATACAGCCGAGATCGAGCTATTCTTAGTGGGACACCCTGTACATAAATTTTAAAATAAATCCCTGCGTTTAGCGATTTAATAATGGATTCATACGGAATTACTTCAAAAATCGGCCCAACATTTAAATTGATGAATAGATATTTTTATATTATATAGTTTTATAACATTTACAATTATTTTTCGATTTATTAATTGTTATATCTGTTATAGAAATATTTTTTATAGTTTTCTAGGACACGTTTTTATAATTTTTACGGTTATTTTTTATTTATTTATAAAGTTTCAATAAAATTATTTTTTTTTTATTTAAATCACATGATTAAAATTAAAAAATCACTTGATTTAAATCATTTGACTAGTAAAAAATAAATTAGAATAAATCCATCCCCAAGTACCAGACAAAAATTTAAATTTCCCTCAAAAATTTCCGTCTTGACAAAATGGCGAAGCCATATTAATATCTTAAAAAATAAAATTATCGTCTACTCTAATTCATGACAATATGGCGAAGGAAAATCGAAAAAAAATATAATAAATATTCAATGTACGGAATGGCGAAGGTAAATTAACTTGTTTAATAATCTGTATAAATAAATTACAAACTAACCTTACCTTAAAATCATCCTCTGGTATTTCTCTTACAGGTGAAGAACTATCTTTGAGAACCACAATATTTTCTTCCTCAGGATACATAGAGCTACCGCACTGCACGGACACACTTGTAACACTAGAATCGCATGTCATTTTGTCCAAAGTTTCCTCACAATTTTTAACAGGCAGTTGATTGTCATCAATATTATCATGTTTGTTGAACTCAGACATGATTGTTGTTAGTTTAGAAACTAAAGTTTATGTTTTAGTAAAAGGAAATCACTTAGATGGTATCCCGACACAACGGTAGGTCCAACCAAACAACGGTAGGTAAGTCCAAAACTCTCCTGAAATCCAAATAGAAATTAAAATCATTTTTTTTTTTTATTTAACCTAAACTATTTTTTTTATTTGGCCATTTAGTTTATGTGTGATAAAAATGGTGAATGCGCAGGTATATTATTTTACCCTTGATTACGGATTAATATACATATACACAATGATATTACTTACAAGTATCTTGAAAGAAAATTTAATACAAATCTAAAAATAAAATAGTCTAAAAAAGTTGCAAAAAAGTTTCCTACATGAAATTTAAACTTGAAATTTTTCAATTCCTTATTTCAACAAAATAAAATAAACACTAAAATATTGGGGAAATTTACTTACAAAATTCGGCAACGTTGCTATTGCTATAATGACAGAGGTAGAGATGTTCAAATTAAGAAAAAAATATCGATCTGTATACATATATTATTTCGATATTTTTGGTATCGTTTTTCCATAATGCATATCTCTCAAAAATTGACTCAATACAGAATGTAAATAAATAAAAACAAAAAAATAAAAAACAACCTGGTATACCAACAACCTTTTTTTAATTCAAAGAAAAATTACTAAAAGAGCAATCATATATTATTTTTTAAATACTATCGATATTAAACTATGTCGATATTTATTTACAGCCCTGGCAAATGTCAGGAACGCAGAAGTATGAAGTATGCACATAAATATTTAATTTTTAACAAAAATAACGCTGAAATGATCCTAAAAAATATAAATATAACTTAGAAATAAATTAAAGTAAGTAAATAATATATTTTCAAACTTATTTTCTTTTATTTTGTTTGTGATTTTTCTTGCAAAAATGAATTTAAAAGCATGGCTTTTATAATTTTGAGGTTACTTTTCAAGAGCACAATTTAATACATTCACCAAAAAGAATTATCCAATAAAAACCATCACAAACTCGGACCAATGAGAAAAAGATTTAAAGAAATGATTAATTATTATAGTATTTACCTATTCGAAAAACACAAACATTAACTGAAAACCGGCAACACACAAAACACGTGTTTATTGCTTGGAATATATACTAAGCAACGTCACCAGGTTGTCAATTTTTTCCCTGAATTTCAGAGTAAATTTTAATAAAAACATGAACTTCTAAAAATCAATACAAATGGTAAAACTAACTTTCGAAATAATATAAAAAAATTAGATGGACAAATTTCGTCTTTTTAACTTTCTTTTTGCTAATGTAAGATTTGACAGCATTCATTCATGGGACAGAGGATCTGCAAAGTTATACAGCTAAAAGGGGAAATTTATTTATTAAAATTAAAATATAGAGTATATAATTAAAAAACTATTTATTGAGTAAACAGAATATCTGGTGTAAAAATAAAATTGTAATATAAATTGAAGAACAAAACAATAGTACAGTAAATACAGGTGACAAAACATCTAAATCTAAATAACACAAAATTACAGAAAGATTATTGGACGGTATCGGATTATCAAGTGTTTTAAAACAATGTACAATAATTATATCCTTAAAAGTTTAATATAAAATAAAAATTATTCATATATATCTTGTACGTATATGTAAACTAAAACACTTAATAAATAAGCATACTGCAAAAAACAAAATTATTTTTTACATAGGTAATTAACAATAATTTTAACGATTATTATATTTTCTTTGAGAAAGTATATAAAATAAAATCACAAAAGAGGTGATTTTTTTATAATAATACAATTAAGATACTACCAAACATAGTATGTTTTTTTTTTGTACAATTTTAGCTTATTGCACAATGTGCCTAATTTTTTTCTACATATCATAGTACGGGTCAACTCTTTTTTATGAAAATGCTTTGGAGCATTTTTTGAATGTACAACTTAAATAAATATTTTTTACCATACAACAGGCCTATAGAGAAATGATACATTTTTTTTCATTTAAAAATTAAATTTTGGTGCAAAATAGTTGGTAAGTTTTTTAAGTTTACAACAATATTTCATAAATTATTTTTTTATAAAAATTGTTTCTCAAATTATTTCTAAGGTTTTCAAACACTAGGTGTATTTACAAAAAAGTGTTCTTTCAAATCAATGCAAAGTGTTTCTTTAAGCGAAAAGGCTTGGTGTCCTTTATTTGAGTCTTACAGTAACATACAGTGTGTAAAAAGAACACTGACCACTCATAAAAAATGTTAGTTTTGAGTTTGATTCAAAATGTGTTATTCTTTATTTATCGAACTTTTTATAGTATATCTGAAAAATATATATCAAAAAAACAATATCTGAAAAACTTACACTTTTGTTTATAAGTGATCCACATTATATCAATACACTCAGAAGAACATTTAAATCTAAACAAAATCTACTTTAGTCGCTTTGAATTAAAGAAAATATTCTATGTTCGATGTTGCTTTTTCCTTTGTACCATACGTTGCGATATTTCTTAACATTCTCTCTTATTTAATCTTAAAATACAATAATATATAATAGTTTTTTGTGTGCTGCATTTTTTTTTGTTCTAAGAACAATTAAAGCTTACAAATTTAGGCTTTCATAGACTTAATATTACGAAGGCGCATGCCTAAGGCAAGTCGTATTCTAAATCATTTATTATCCTATTATTACCGATATCGATTATTTAGTAAAAAATCGATATCGATGTTTTTTGAAGAAAAAAAATCGATATAAATAAACATCCCTAACTATTATTCTAAGCGCTACAAAATAGAGATCTTGTCTTTTATTTTCTCAGATCAATTCAAATTTAATTTAATCTTATAATATTGAGAATAATATCCATATATTTTAGTATAGAATTTCTTTATTATACCTAGTGTTACTTAAATTATTTTTTTAACATTTATTTTTCATTTTTACTTGAATTTAGCACAGCCCAACAATACTTACCAATCTATGTTTGGAATATTATTAGATGATAATGATGATGTAAAAATTAGGGCTTTTATATGTTTAGAATATTGTATTTTTCTTATCTTGTAATATTTCTCAAAATAATAAAAATCTACAGAGCAGTAGAATTTTTTTAATTACAATTTTTTTTCTAGACTCCTAAAAACCTGCTACAAAAAAATAGATCACCCTGTATTAATTGATCTTTGAAATAATGACTGTTTGTGATGCATATATGTACTAAAGGAGTTGGTAAGTTACTTACCAACTTCACAGAAAAATACTTAATAAAACAAAAATCTCAGGATCAAAAAAATATACTAGATGTTCTCAAATAAGCATTTAAGTCTATATTTGTTTACCTGTACACATCTAAAACGTCCTAGTAATAAATTTGGACCATCCTGTATCTTGGTAACAAATAATTTATATTCTTATTCAAGTAATTAAAAAAAATAACTTATGGCAGTATGATTAAATGAGTAACCACATAAGGCAGCTAATATATCCAGTTGACTGGCACCCATTGGTGTTCAGTTGTCAGTGCTTCCAGTGCTTCAATTATCTGTCTAAACGTGATGTCAAAATCATTATTTGTGATGGTTTGGTCGATATATTTGTCATAAGTTCTCTGCATACTGGCGCTGTCTTCCAATGTCCTCATCAAATCTTCTTCCTACATGAATAACACAAAACTTGTTCAAACCCTACTTGTAGTTTTTTTCGTATTAATATACACGATAAAAACTTATTTGGAGGCTTATATCAACTATATTTTTAATAATCACCAACAAAAATTATCTTTGATGAATCTTCTAAGGTATCTTTTTATTTACCTCGTATAATGATGCCAAGGATTCCAGTGTTCTCGCCCTTCTCGAACTGTATCGAATGGAACTTTGACGGTCAAACTGTCATGCAAAAATTAAATAAAAAATAACATCCAATAAAGAAAAACAAACAAAAATAATCACAATAATAAAAAGACATTCAAAAAAATATTTTTTTTATTATTACCTCATTTACTAACTACCAAAGAGAAATGAATTTTTATTATGAAGTAAACAATATGAACAAAATGTCTTATATTTTAATCTGATCACCATGTACAGGGTGTTCTATATTCGTGTATTTTACAGAGTTTTTCGTTTATGAGTAGGGATACAAAGATACGGTTTTCACGTAACTGTGTTACTTTTTTATGAAACTAAAGATGCTACAACACAGATTTATCCTAGCCCTCTTAGTTCCTAAATTACAGGGCGACTTCTTCGTATTTATATAATATACAGGGCGTCACGTTTAAAAAGAAGTAAGCGCAAAACTATATATAGTTACGCCACTAAATTCTATGTGAAAATCTCTATGGGAATCAGTTTTCATCTTTTTTATAAGTCATAAGATAAACGAGATACGAGGGGAATCAAAAAATGCAATATTTTCAATTTCACCCTGTATTTCAGAAACTAAAAAGGGTAGAACAAATCTGTGTGTAGCATCTTAGTTCATAGAAAAAAGTAGAATACCTAGTAATGTGGAAATCGTATCTTTGAATCTCTACTCATAAACGAGAAACCCTGTACCTGTAAAACACACCAGAATGGGACACCCTGTACAGAAGACACAGTTATTGCAGACTTTATAAAATATTATCTTATTTTTCCCTGACAATATGTCATAAATCACGACGAATATTTCAGAAACTACCCACAACATTCTGACATAAATTTTTATTGTCTACAATCATGCAATCTTTGCTAATTTTCAGTCACGCAAACAGCAAATACATTCAGGCCATATAAATTCCATATAAAACATAAAGTAAAAAACACAAATTTTACCGTTAGATTCCTGCTAGAGTATCTCAAGTTGGAATTGCTTCTCGAAACATCATACAGGGTCTTCAGTTGTTCCATACCAGGCGAGGCTATGAAAATGACGTAAGGCAAAAATTCCGAACTGTTGTGAAGGATTTTTAGCGACATTGGACTGCAGTCCAATATACACATTTTTCCCTGAAAAAATAAAATAGTTAAAATAAAATAATAAATATACGAAAAGAAAATGATACAGGGTGAGTCTTAAATAAGTGCAGATATTTTCGGGGCTGGTAGATCTTGATAAAAGAAACATATTTTCTCTTTGCCGTTTTTCAAATAACTCCAAAATAACCTTAGAAAATTTAGAAAAAAATTATTTTTTGTTTAAATTTTGAGAACCACTGTATCTGTTCTGGGTTTTCTTTCTTGTAAATTTAATTTACTACCTATGTTGCCATATTATGAAGATAAAGATATGTTTTTTAAATTAAAATTAAAAATATTTCAAATTTTTTTTTTATAAAAAAATTCCAAATTTTTCAATCAGTTTTTTTTTCGATCATATTTTTCACAATACAATTTTATAAACTAAGATTGTTCTGTCTAAAAACAGAAAATTGCCATTTAATTACCTGCTTGATAACATCTCTAATAGAATCCAAATGGGTTCCGTACAAGTGTCCATTATATTCTCCATACTCTAGAAATTTGTTATTTTTTATTTCTTCTTCCATTTCTTCCCTATCAATAAACCAGTAGGTTTGACCATTTTCTTCTAACACTCTTTGAGGTCTTGACGTGTCTAAAAATAACAAATTCTTTCATAATACGCCCCCTATATCAGATTAAATGTAGTAATCATTTAATTTATTATTCTATTAAGCTCTATATGAACATTGTATACCGTATGATGGAAAGAAAAGCAGATAATAAGCACAAATAACAATTATGAATGAATGGAGATTCTGTGGGGGAAATGGGGAAACACTAGAACATCGCTGAATGCGCCAAGAACATTCGTGCCATAAACTTTGGTACGACTGATATCGGAGACGGAGAACTAACCTTGGTAAAACCGTCTCAAATACTGACTTTTGTCAATGCCCTGAGACTGTATGATGAGTTATAACTAACGTGACCATACGTCCCGTTTTGAACGGGACTGTCCCTTTTTTCGACCGTCTGTCCCGGTGTCCCCGAAAGACGCTTCGAGACTCCAAATTGTCCCGTTTTTCAGGAAAATACTAATAATCCAACAAATATTGATTGGAATAATGGAAATATTTCGATGGAAAGTCGTTGGGTAGAAGTGTTTAAGCACTTTCAGTCGAATCAGCTTAAACATGAACAGTTTTCTATTCTAATTTAATATATTTTGTGTCTGCCTGGCACAAATGCAGCAATAGAAAGAGTATTTTCTTTAATGAACAAATTGTGGACAACTGAAAAAACTCAGTTACAGGTTTCCGTCCTCAAGGCGATGTTGGTAACTAAAGTGAATATAAAAGACATGCCAAGAATTCTATCCCTATTTAAAATCAAAACCGAACGTATTAAGAGAAATTTGTTAAAAAATGTCTATACCTATGTGGCGGGTTCATCTCTCCAAAAAATCCTTTATAGGTATTTCGCCACTGCACTGCAAGAAAAATCTACAAAATAAAATACTTATTTTTTGTAAACACTTCTGCGTTAAACCTAAACGAACACTGCTTGTCAGAAGTTATGCTTACAGTAATAAAAATTTGCCTAACAAAGAAAAAATGCTTAACATTTCGGAAAGTTTATCTCTTTCCGTCGTCGGAAGCAAAAAAATACAAAGAATAAAGAAAATAACTATTTAAAATATTTAAATTCAACTATTCGAGAACCACTTTACTTTTTTTAAAACAGATACGTCTACAAGAAACCGTTGACGTTCTGTTGCAGTGGCGAAATACCCATAAAGGATTTTTTGGAGAAATTTGTTCATCTGAAAAATATAAAAATGATAATTAAGAATTTAAGTTCAATAAATAACCAACGTTTTTAATGTTGTAATAAATAACCAACGTTTTTAACGCTGTGAGTAAAGCTTATTGAAAAATGTGTGCTTTTTTTCTAATAATAATGGGAATGGGTCAAAAAAACCGATGTCCCGTTTTCATTTTAAAAAAATATGGTCACGTTAGTTATAACTCAAAAAAGAGGGACACAATTGGTCTATAAGGTCGCAGTAAAATTAACTTACCCCCAGGCCCGTTCCTGGGGTTCCTAGGTGCAGCATTCTTTGGTGCGCCCTTTTTATATTTAAATCAATTATTATTTTAATCTTAATCTCAAACATTAAATAATCTGCGACAAACGAGCAATATGTAATTGGAAATGTAAAAAAAACTATTCTAATTAAAGTATAAAAACATTTATTAAATAAAGAAATCAAACAAAACCACAAAAATATTGAATAACAAAAATAGTACCCTAAAGAAAAAAACTGGCCCATTTTATATGAAATACATAAAAACAATAAACTAAAAATCGGAAATAATATGCATGTACTGATTTCTTTCGAAAATCGACAACTATGAAACTATGATCCCTTCCCCGACACAAACGGTATATTGTGAGACAGAAAAATATAGAAAGAAACAAGCCCTATAACATAGGATACAGCATTTTAATGAACAGTGCTTTCCATAAAATCAATAAAATGAAAAATATACGAAATAATATACATGCACTGATTTCTGTCGAAAATCGACAACTATGAAACTATGATCCCTTCCCCGACACAAACGGTATATTGTGAAACAGGAAATTGTAGAGAGAAACAAGCCCTATAACATATGATACAACATTTTAATGAACAGTGCTTTCCATAAAATCAATAAAATGAAAAATATACGAAATAATATACATGTCCTGATTTCTGTCGAAAATCGACAACTATGAAACTATGATCCCTTCCCCGAATGGGTATTGTGAGACAGAAAATTGTAGAGAGAAGCAAGCCCTATAACATAGGATACAACATTTTAATGAACAGTGCTTTCCATAATATCAATAAAATGAAAAATATACGAAATAATATACATGTACTGATTTCTTTCGAAAATCGACAACTATGAAACTATTATCTCTTCCCCGAATGGGTATTGTGAGACAGAAAATTGTAGAGAGAAGCAAGCCCTATAACATAGGATACAACATTTTAATGAACAGTGCTTTCTATAAAATCAATAAAATGAAAAATATACGAAATAATATACACATGTACTGATTTCTTTCGAAAATCGACCACTATGAAACTATGATCCCGTCCCCGACACAAACGGTACATTGTGAGACAGGAAATTGTAGAGAGAAACAAGTCCTATAACATAGGATACACCATTTTAATGAACAGTGCTTTCCATAAAATCAATAAAATGAAAAATATATGAAATAATATACATGTCCTGATTTCTGTCGAAAATCGACAACTATGAAACTATGATCCCTTCCCCGACACAAACGGTACATTGTGAGACAGGAAATTGTAGAGAGAAACAAGTCCTATAACATAGGATACAACATTTTAATGAACAGTGCTTTCCATAAAATGAATAAAATGAAAAATAAATAGATGAGATCAATGTGTTGCCGACAGATTGCCCTAGACTTGTTTATTCGGTGCGGCCAACGCAAAAAAGACGTTAAGCAAACTTTATCCTATGATGTATGTTTAAGTATTTAAAGAACAAGAAAGCGTATCGGTTTTTTGTTACAAAGTACTGATTGACACTTTGATTTTGCGCCCCCTAAATGATGCGCCTACGTGCGTGCACGCACTGCACGCTCGCCAGGAACGGCCCTACTTACCCCTCCCCCAATACTTACATGGTATAACTCCTGCAAATTTTTCGGGATCGCTATTTATAAGTCTATTCTTCAGAGTGCGTCTACCAACTCCCTGAGTTCCTATAAGCACCAAAGTTTTCCGTTTAAACGGGGGCATTTTTGTTACTTCTTCGTACAAAAGTAGCTCCGCCTTGTCGAAATCACAGTTGCTTTTGGACTGGTAGATAATTTTCTTCTTTTTTCTAGCTATTCTAGCACCTAGAATAATAAAAAATATATAGAATAAATCTATACACAGGGTTCGGCAATAGTGCGTCGGGCATCAGTAGCTCATATAATAAAAAAGTTTTTGTTTAAGTACAAACCTAAAGTATGTATTAGGATGTATTTTAGGAAAATATTTTAACTTCTACAGGGTGGCTCAAAAAAGTATGAGTAGATCGGGATGATGTTTTTTAAATGGAACACCCTGTATATTATTCCATTTTTAGCTTCCCTTTTGATTACTTTATATAATAGATATTATATAAAAGATATTATTAAAAAATATGCTTTAATGGTTTTAAAGATATTAATAAATAAATATTTTTTTCAGCTTTTTTTTTTAAATATTAAAAACATAGGCGTGCCCACGGGGTGGGACGTGGGGCCATGGCCCCCCTAATCAGCATTCTGTGTACGGAAAATGTTACTTTGCGCACGCTCGTATAAAAAAAATTTCCCAATCTTTAACTTTGGCCCCCCTTATTAAAAAGCCTGGTCACGCCTATGATTAAAAATACAAGAAATGTTCTGAAACCAAAACTGTATTAGGTATTTACTGTAGTGGGTCTGTACCTATTTTGCTACAAATATCATAATCTTAAACCATACAGGGTGTTCAAAATTCTATGCCAAACTTTCTAAAATATAAAATAGGTTTGAATGGAACACCCGATATATTATTTATTTGCTAGATGGAGAATTAAAAGTATTTCAAAATGTTTAACGGTTTCGCAGATATTCGCGGTTTTACATTTCACATGGCATTTTCCACAATAAATTTTTATCAAAGACACCCAATGATTTTTCTCTCCCATTTTACCGTTGAAAAAGCCATATGCAATAAAACCGCGAATATTTGCGAAACCGCTAAAAATTTTGAAATGCTTTAAATACAAAAAATGTTTATTTTTTAATTCTCCATCTAACGAAAAAATAATATACAGGGTGTTCCATTTAAAAAAAACAAAGAAAAACTTTTATATTTTAAAAAGTTTGGCATAGAATTTTGGACACCCTGTATGGTATAAGATTACGATATTTATTTTAAAGTAAGTACAGACCCACTACAGTAAATAATATAGTTTTGATTTTAGGACATTTCCAGTGTTTTTAATTTTTTTTTTCAAAAGGCTTTTTTTATTTATTAATATCTTTGAAATTTGAAACTGTCTAAACGTGTTTAATAATATCTTAGGATTATGTAAAGTGATTAAAAAGAAAGCCGAAAATGGAATAATATACAGGGTGTTCCATTTAAAAAAAATCATCTCGATCCAGTCACACTTTTTTGAGCCACCCTGTAGAAGTTAAAATATTTTCTTGAAACACATCCTAAAATATACTTTAGGTTTGTACTTAAACAAAATTCCTATCTTTGTTATTATAGGAGCTACAGATGCCGGACGCACTATTGCCGAACCCTGTATAGGGTGATTCACGGCGATGCCTATGGTACGTTAGATGCTTATGGAGACCCGGTGATATAATTATTTTGAAAATTTGGATTTTTACATAAAGGCACCTGTTCCATCTATCTAAAATATTTTCAACGTTACAATGTTGCCGCGTTGTTTGAAAAGTGATAGTATCTTTCTTATTAAACGTATTAAGTAGTATCTTTCTTTAAACTAACACCCGGTATATTATAACATTTTTAGAAACTACTTTCGTATCTCATAATTTTTCTATTATACTAACCTATATCTATCTCTAACAGTTTTTGAGATAATAAATAAAACAAGCGTGTGAAACTGACAAAAACATGATCTTGAATAAGCATTGGTAAAATCATGAATTGGACATTTTAAAAGTTGAAATTTGGATTATACATTAACAAAAATCGATATATTCGATCTGTCTAAACCAACTGATTGGATATTACACATAAACTAAACAAAATCACTCTTTTACACGCACAAACAAAAAGTAATCCAAACAGAACTAAAACAACAATCAATCGGAGTTTGGCGCAATCACAGTTCAATCGATATCTTTTGTTGCAGTTCCATCGTTGTCTTTTTCTAACAAGGAACACTGAGTATATTTTATTTATACGTATATGGTTTGATATCTAGTCGGTTGATTATAGTATAGTATAAATAAAATAAAGGAATTACCGCATATACTAATTTTATGGACAAAGTCCGCCTCTGGGGGGACATAGGCTTTCCGTCTCTCTTCCAATTCCAGTGAAGGAATAAGTCCGGTCCTGTTTTCACCGCCCACTTTTTTGGCCTGCCACCAATTGGGGTCCCTTTGATCCACAATCTGTAATATGTCCCCCCTATCGAAGGGAAGCCCTATTTCCTTACAGGGCAGCAGACTGTCTTCTTCGGGGTTGTATTCGAAAAGGGCCCTCATATAACACTGCAAATTAGAAAACCGAATGTTTATAAGGGTGTCAAAAAACCGAAGAAAAACTATTTTGTATTTTTTAGAAAGTTTGGCGTAGAATTTTGAAAACCCTGTATGGTTTAAGATTACGATATTTATAGCAAAGTAAGTACAGGCCAACTATAGTAAGTACTATAGTTAAGATATTTCTTGTATTTTTAATTTTTTTATTAAATTTAATAACATCTTAGGACCATGTAACTGATTAAGGATGAACCCAAAAATGCAAATAACATACAGGATTTTCCATTTAAAACAAAATCATTCCGATCCACTTTTTTGAACCACCCGGTAGAAGTTAAAATATTTTCCTGAAATACATCCTAATTGAAAATTTGATTTTTTATATGGGACACCCTGTATATTTTTAATTTATTGAAAAGAATTTAAAATTACCTTTCCAAAAATATAACACACTTGATATCTTGCTCGATTCCTCTTCGAGATATAGAGTATATGAAAATTCGCCTACTTAAATAAGTAGGCTTTGAGCGGCACCGGCTGTAATGCAAAAAAATTCTAGCTGTGAGCATCAATTAAAACAAAAATAATATTTGCTATGATCCATGCAGAATTTTATAACAATTTAAAATATATTTAACCAACATCAACGCATTTAAACTATATCAAATAACAATAAAAATAAATAGCAAACCAAGACATGAGATTTTGCTACAAGTGTTCGACATATCGACCGTCTTCTGTTATGGAGAGACGGGGCAGTTTTTGAAAATTTCTCGCGGAATTCGTTAACTCAGTGGGGGTAAAAGATACCCTCTCATAACTGCTAAGTATTTTTAATTTTTGTCTAGATTATACGGAAGAATAATGAACCTTACTCTTCCACAAATATATCCATAAGATTAGATCCATGGGCACTAAGTCAGGCGGCCTCGACGGCCAACGGCTCGGATCTTGGTTAGCTATCTAATTATTTTTGAAATTGGCTGCAAAAATTTGCTGATAACTTCAGCGTTCAGAGGCGGTGCGTCGTTTTGCTGGAAAAATATGTTTTCGAGTTCCATTAAGGGCATATCATCAATAAGGGGTCCAAAGCCTACTAGTTAAAAGTGGCGAACTTTTAAAAATTCTGTATTTCGAAGGGGATTATAACAAAATATCAAGTGTGCTATATTTTTGGAAAGATAATTTTAAATTCTTTTCAGTTAATTAAAAATGTAGAGGGTGTCCCAAATAAAAAATCATTTTTTCTGTTGATAACACTTAAATTATCAATTTTAAAAAAATTATACTTAAACCATTAAATTCTATGTAAAAAGGTGCTTTGGAAATGTTTTCATGGAAATTTTCCATAGCAAAAAAGTTACAGCGATTTGTTCAAATGCACATTTTTGAAAAACACCTCGTAACTCCGAAACGGTAACAGATATTGATTTGCGGTTTTCACCATCATGTTTTTGATAAAAATTGAGCTCCAGACACCGATATTAGTTTTCGTCTATCTCCTAGAGAAAAAGGTGTTTCCATTTAAAAGCGTCGAATTTGACCCACCCTATACAAAATTCCTAAGTTTTTTCTTATAGGAGCTACAGATGCCCGACGCACTATTGCCGGACCCTGTAGATATTTCACTAATAGCTATAAAAAACTATATACGTTATTAAAAGATGTATATGGCCAAAAATATCGATATAGCATCGATATTTATCAACATTCCTAAGTATACTTACTGTTAATTTTTTAGTCACACCGTTTACACCATTGGATACAATATTCGCATGGGTAGTTTCAGTGGCTGGTGTATTTCCCACTTTCAGTGTCACAGAATCTCGACTTTTGGCCACTTCTATTTGTAGATCTTCGGGAGTTTTCACTTCGTTCCCATTGACTTCCAGGATAACGTCTCCAATGTGAAGCAGTCCTTGTTTTTCGATCATACCTCCTTCTAGGATTCTGGCTATGACGAGATTTTCGTTGTCATCAATTTGGACCTGCAACAATAGTTTATACACCAGGCGTCTCAATAACCCTGTTTTAGGTAAGATTTCTGTAAAATTTTTATTATAAGATTTTTGTAAGAATTCTGTAAGATTTCGGTAAGATTTCAATTGTGTAATAAACTGTAAATATAACAAGCTTTTTGTAAGATCTCTGCAAGATTTCTGTAAGATTTTAGTTGTGTAATAAATTTTATATATAACAAGATTTCTGTAATATTTCTGTAAGGTTTCTGTAAGATTTATGTAAAATTTCTGTAAGAATTCTGTAAGATTTCTGCAAGATTTCAGTTGTGTAATAAATTTTAAATATAACAAGATTTCTGTAAGGTTTCTGTAAGATTTATGTAAAACTTCTGTAAGAATTATGTAAGAATTCTGCTAGATTTCTGTAATAAATTCTAAATAAAACAAGATTTCACGAAGGTTTTTGTAAGAAATGTATAAAAGATATTCAAGATATCTTCGTTGGGTACCTTCGAGCGCACTTATATATTCAATATAGAAGAGGTTCCAGATTATACATCCGTACTCGAGCCTAAATCGCAAAATACAAAATATTGAGCGACTGGATGTTACAAAAATGCTTGCATGTTCTAAGGAAAGAGGTCCTTCATTTAAAGAATGATAGTCAAGAACGTAATGTATTTTCTAATCAAAATTAGATCAATTGTCGCCTCAGCTCAGGGGTTACTGTGACGACGTTTTTTTTTCGATAATATGATATATTTCAGATCTCCTCTATAGATTTATTTATTTATTTGAGATTTTATAAGATATATCCTGCAAATATAAATAAAATAAATGTTGATAGCAATAAATATACTCACGGTGAGTCCTAGGGGCTCTCCTGCCTTTTTTCTAACTCCAACCATCCTGATAGGGTCGTTGTTCATCCCGTTGGGGAATAATTTGGGCGGCTCAGTCTTTCTGATTGGTTGGGGGTTCCTGATGATGTCCGCCACCTTATCGTGAGCGTCTAACAAAGCCCTACGGCAAAAATAAGAATCTACTAAAGTGTCTCCAACTAGAAAAGGGACGATTTTGGGGGAAGTAATCCAAAAATGACAGATAAAAACAATTGTCACTATCATTTTCGGACATACAGGGTGTAGAAGTTAAAAATCGCCACGAGTAATGTTTCTCGAGATATTTGGAATTGAAATTATGAATACCTCTCATTCATTGACATAAATTAAACATGTTGACTGGATAGTTATTAGACTGAAATCATAAAAAATCTTCATCGTTTCGAAGAGTTTCGAAAAAAATATGATTAATTTAAAAAAATAAAAAGTTCCCAAATTTATCATTTCACTCAAATAACTATCTACACAACATGTTTATTTTTTGCCAATAATGACATGTATTGACTATTTCCATCCTAAATATCTTGAGAACGGTTACTCGCAATTTTTATCAAGAGACATTTATTACGCAAAAAAATCACGGAACTCTATATTTTTTCACTCAGTAGTTTTATACAGGTACGGACGAAAAGTTATTACTCTTGAAAACAGTTAAAACACATGTAGGTGGTGCGACCTACAAATAGGAGTCATATTGACATCAAAATCAAACTTCTTGTATCCAAAAACTCCCAGGCACCAACTTTCATTTAAATATTAACGTTACTTCAGAAATTATTTGGAAAAAATCGAAACAAAAATGAAACTTCTACACCCTGTATCTCCGAAACTAAGCATTTTAGGACATACATTTATACGAACTCTTTTCCTTATTTTTATCTGCAGAATATGATGCCAAAGTTTCCGATAACGGGTGTTGCATCGTCGAGCGGGACATAGGAAATCCCATGTAAATTTTAATGGGGTCAATTATTGGCTTCCCTAATTATTTTAGAGAATAATTCTATTTAGATTTACTGAAGAGCACTAAAACCCACATTCAAAAGAATAAACTTTAGATATTTTTGATTAGCCCGCGTACGAGTTATCGCCGATTTCTTTTTAAATATTTCTCCTTTCTTATGGCCCTGTATTTACTTATGAGCACCAGTCAAGGTAAAAGATAACCATTGCCTGGAAACTTATATGGTGAAATTTTGATAAAATAATTTAGTACTCACTAAAAACACGGTATGTCGCTAGTGGTAGGAAAAATAATTTTTAGAGGTTACTAGTTTATTTGGTTGCCTGTGATATGCATATACAGGGTGTTTCTTAATTAATCTAAAATAAAAAATCGTCAAAAAACGGCTTAAGGCGGGCTCTTAATAAGTATATTTATTTTTTTCTCGGCAACCGTTTGATGAACAAGAAAAACTCAAAAGATCAATTTTGTTGAAAAAGGATGGCCAGTCAAGAAAAAAATATATTTTCTTTAAAAAAGTAGTAGTGTACCATTTATGTTAAGCAAAATATCGATTTTTTTAATTTTTTAACACCCTGTAGATCAGAAAGGAAGTACTTTAGACCCAATGGTTATATAAAATTGTTTTAAGAACACATGACGAATCACACCACAATTTTTAGACTAATTAGAAAACACCCTGTATATTGTCAACTTGACAATGATTGTTGATAAATCAAAAAATACCTTTTCTGTGAAAAAAGCCCGATTTTCGCAGGAAAAATTTTGGTTTTTATTGAATTTGGGCTTGCGTCTGCAAATACCGGTATGTTTTTTAATATTCTATCTATCTAAATTTTAAATATCATAGTCAGAAATAGTTTTATTATTTATTAACTGTAAAAATGGTATACTTAGAAGTTTTATCAAATATTGTGATTTACTTTCTACCTTGTAATCAAAATTTATATTTAATAAACTGTAAAATATATATATTCTTATGTTTTATTATTATATTATTTAACATAAAAAATATTTACAGCAGAAAAGGCGAAGGCGCTGGGTTAAACGTAGTCTCTACTAAGAACACGGAGGGGCGCTTTGACCCAAAATTTTACTATTAAGTTTCATATCTATCTTAATAGAAGATTATTTTCTTTTATCTATGAAGATAACTGTCAAATGAAGTTGTCATTTCAGAAATTTATCTATTTAGTGCTTTATTATTATTATTAAAAACTCATACCTACATCGAAAATATTAGCCATGAATTACTACCGAAGAAAAAGTATTGATTATTAAATGGTATTATCAAGGAAATAGTTATCAAAAGGTGTCGGACATGTTTGCTGCTCTGTATCCGAATAGACCGATACCTGGAAAATCTACAATCGCAAGGAATATCCAGAGATTTGAGACCAAAGATACCCTAATAAATAACTGCAGATGTGAAGCAAGGCAGGAACAAAGAGAAGATGCAAGAAATGATACCGACTTGGAAGTTTTATTGTGCGTGGAAGAGAACGATGGAAAGATCAGCACAAGGAAACTTGAGGATGAAATAGGAATAGATCACACTACAGCGTTTCGAATTTTGAAACGACATAAATAATATACCTTTAAATATGAAAAGCATCAAGAGCTACGAGATGGGGACGAAATGCGGCGGCAGGCGTTTTGTTTTGATATGATGGAAAGAGCAAACACGGATAGGGAATTTTTAAAAAACATATGTTTCACTGAGGAATGCACGTTTACCTTAAATAATGAACCCAATGTTCAAAATTATCGATATTGGAACAAAGAAAACCAACACAGGTTTGTCGAAACAAGGACGCAATATCCACAGAAAGTAAATGTTTGGGCAGGGATATTCGGACACAATATTATCGGGCCATTATTTCTTACGCGAAATTTAAATGCAGAATATTATTTGGAACTACTCGAAAATCATATTTTACCTGCTTTACATGATGCCGCTAGGGAAAATCAGGAAGTTTGGTACCAAATGGATGGCTGCCCGACACATAGTACCCTGGCTTTTCGGGAATATTTAGACAATAGTTTTAACGGAAACGTTATTGGCCTAAATCATACAGTAAATTAGCCAGCAAGGTCTCGTGATATTTCGCCAAATGATTTTTCTCTGGGGCCATTTAAGAAACAGGATATACAAGGATAAAAAATACCCAAATCTAGACGAGTTAAAAAATGCTGTTTCTGCCGAATGCAATAGAATTTCAGTTTACCAACTAGCGAATGTAAGAAGAGAATTTTATGATCGCCTGGGTTATTGTCTAGCAGTCGATGGAGAAATATTTGAACATCTTCTTAAATCCTAAAGTTCTAACAATTTAATATTACCTAAATTAATAAGTTATTGAATATTGTAATAATACTATAATTAACCTTGTAATTGATTACTTTATTTTACTTTAATACATATTAATTTGTATTTATAAATACATCTTTAAAATTTCCGATGCAGGAATGAGTTTTCAATAATAATAAAGCACTAAATAGGTAAATTTCTGAAATGACAACTTCATTTGACAGTTATCTTTTACCTTGACTGGTGCTCATAACTAAATACAGGGCCATAAGAAAGGAGAAATATTTAAAAAGAAATCGGCGATAACTCGTAAACGAGCTAATCAAAAATATCTAAAGTTATTCTTTTGAATGTGGGTTTTAGTGCTCTTCAATAAACCTAAATAGAATTATTCTCTAAAATAATTAGGGAAGCCAATAATTGACCCCATTAAAATTTACAGGGGATTTCCTATGTCCCGTTCGACGATGCAACACCCGGTATATGATTTACCTAAAGTGAGGTCTGTTTAGGGTGTCTGCTAACTCTCGAGCTTCCCTATTCCAACACCTTGTACATCTGATGTGGATATCTTTGGACAGTTCCTGGCTATTTGAATTTTCTGGTGGGGATAGAGTTGGGGGACGGTCCTCTAGACGATCTTGTACCTAAAACGATAACAAAAATTATAAATACGCATACCAGGCTTGAAAAAAATATACTAATTTGTTTATTTTTAAAGAAACCATATATTTTTTTATTAATTGAAAAATGTTTAAACCAAGTTAAAAACATTGAATAATAATTTTAAATTATTAATTATCATTTAATTAATTATTAAGATTCTAAAGAAATCACCAATTCCCATACCTATACAGTATGTCCCCAGAATGTATTTTCAAGAGGAAAAACTTTTTTATTATTGACATTATTGACATTTTGAGAACTTTACGTACAGCGCTTCAATACTAGAATTTATAGGACTAAATTAATAAAAAATATAGGATCTTCTTCCGATGCGCAGTAGTGAACGCAAAGGGTATCGGCAGCCAGACGGGCCGCATGCTGTTCCAGAGAGCATAGTAAAAGATAGATCATAGAGCCAGACGTTTTAAAATACTTTCTCGAAAACGTTACTAGCTCTTAGACTAATAGGTTCTGTTGATAGATTGCTATTGATAGAATTTTAATTAACGTCATATTTTTTGCTGTTAGTTCAATGCTACGGGAAGGATGATAATAATTATTGGAAAATGTGATACTTTAACAACAGCAAAAATATGACCTTAATCAAAATTAATAATAACCATCTATCAAAGAATGAAATCGAAATTATATTAACATAGAAACGCGTTTTAAACTTTAGGACTAAGAAAAAAATCAACTATATTTTCATGGTTTTTTTAATTTTCTCTAAAACGGTATGGAAATTTGGAAAAGTATAAACGGGATTAACCATTTTAGAACAAGCAAAATTTTTTATAAAGAATGCAGTTTTCCCAAAATGTCTATAATAAAATAGTTTTTCCTCTTCTAAAAACAAGCCGGAGACATACTGTATAACTTTAATTCAAAAAAACCTTCAAGGTAGAAGAACCCTTACACAAATTGACGTAACAGGTCGACTTCCCAGAGTCACCGAAAGTTCGTAGCCCTCTCGAAGGCAGGTAGAAATCGAGCCCTTTGCGGTCATGGCGCGATAAAGGGGAAGTCAGGTGGGTTCCTCAGCCCTTTGTTTGGATTATGTATCAGCAGGGTGCGTAAATATTTCGTTACTAGACCCGGTACCTCAGAAAAATCGTTTCAATATGGTTGGTTCTTGTTTCAGTCATTTTTCCCTTTTTTTTGTTTGTTCTACGTTCAGTTTAAAGGGTGTAGGGCTAATTTTGGCACACTTTCTTAGGGCTTTAACTGTGGGGGGTTGTGCTACCGATACTTCGGTCAATAAATGAAGATTTATGGCGGTTGTAAATCTTGCAATTAGGGTGTATTGACAGTTTTAGAGAGAATCCATTTCTTAAAAGGAGTTATATTCATTCGGTGATTTTTAGTTCAGTCATTGGGGATCAAAAAAGGGGCCTGCTTGGAAAAAAGTCCGGAAGTTGTTCCTAAATTCCATAAAATGCACATTTCCAGACTTGCCAAACCAAACCAAACCCAAAATCGGTATTTTGTAAATATCTCGAAAACTATACGTTTTTCGCAAAAATTTGAAGAGAGTAAAATTAAAGAAAATAACATTTCCTATAAAAAAGGTTATACGGAAATTTTCGCTAAAGTCAACCATTTAGGCACAAAATCACTGGAAATTTTACAATTTTGCGTAAAGTATGATATGTCGATTTTCCGAAATATCAAATGTCGATTAGTGTTCACTAAAACTAGTTTTAGTTTAGTTAATTAGTTTTAGTTTAGTTCAATTTTGTCATGAAACAGTGGCGTATCATTAATTCGCTCATTAATAATTTATGAATAATTAATTGTCGTGCTGGACAGCATTCATTGCGAACTTACCACCAGGTTCAGCATTGGTCTGGTTGTACCAAAAAATTATTTGACTTCTTAGTATCTTTTTCTAAATTAAAAATGAAACTCCCCATCTGTTAATTATACGAGGGAAAACAAAATGTTGATATTTTTGATGAAAGTTTGAAACATCCTGTGAAATACGTTAAAACAGCAAGAAATTTAAATTTATTTTATCATCTAGATACATCCTTTTTCGATGGTTTGTTTTTTGGTTCATCTCATTAGCTTTATTTTTGTTGGAAATATTCGGTTTTAAAGAAGGCACTAACATTTTTCGTAATTTTGACATTAAGACCATGCCTTTTTTTTGGGCCTAGTCAGCACATCTAGTAAGTTCTGGTTCCAAAGCAGGCCTTCTTGACATAAGATTTGCTTCATTTAATCTTCTTCTTGTAGTCCGTTAGTTAATATGTACGGTTCTTAAGTGCAATTCATTATCAATTTGAAAAGCTGGCAAACGGCGGTTTCTTAGCGATAAAATTACAATAAATCGATCGTCTCGGTTCGAAGTTCTCATACGAAGGTTCCTGGACGCCTATATTGACGTGGTCATAATTCAAAGACCATTTAATATACTCTATGGTATTAAGGTATTTTTGGAACCAGAATTTTATAGCAAATTCACTAAACTCGAATAAATAAATGATATATATTTGACTGGAGGCAGTACATTTGACTGGAGGCAGTACATGGAGGAGCTCTTCGGAAACGAAAATAGCGACGACATAACTGCAGGAACTGGCAGTATAGGGTCCACCATTACACAGGAAGAAGCGGAAGCAGCTATCAAACGTCTGAAAAACAACAAGACTTCCGGACCGGATCAGATACACGGAGAAGTTCTTAAACTGCTGGACTCGGAACAAGTTCAACTACTGACCACCCTATTCAACAATATTTATACAGGTGGTCCAATCCCAAACGACTGGCTGCTATCAACATTTATACCGCTTCCCAAGAAGGCAAACGCGATCAAATGCTCTGATCACAGGATAGTCAGTCTGATGAGCCACGTCCTAAAATCCTCCTTAATATCATCCAAACACGTATATATAGAAAGCTCGATGAAAACGTAGGTGAAACTCAGTTCGGCCTCAGAAAGGGATTGGACACCAGGGGGGCTCTGTTTTCAATACAAGTCCTAATCCAACGAGCACGCGACGTCAATGTATATGTCTTTGCGTCCTTCATAGACTTCGAAAAGGCCTTTGATAGAGTCCAGCATGACAAACTCATCTCGATTTTACAGGAATCAGGAATAGACGATAGAGATACAGAGATAATAGCAAAACTTTATCGTCAACAAATGGCCGTGATTCGAATCGAGAACGAAACTTCAGAAGAGTTTAGTGTAAGGAGGGGAGTGCGACAGGGCTGTATATTGTCACCTCTGCTATTCAATGTATACTCGGAACATCTATTTAGAGAGGCACTGGATGGCACAGAGGATGGGCTGGAAATAAACGGAGAAATAGTAAACAATTTGAGATACGCAGATGATACCGTTCTGTTGGCCGATACCGCTGAAGGTCTCCAAAGGCTTATATATCGTGTGGCGAATACATGCAGCAGATACGGAATGAAGATGAACTGCAAGAAGACTCAAACGTTGATCATTAGCAAGAACTACATCAACAACTTTCAGTTCACTGCTAACAACATCGTTCTCCCAGCGGCCGAGACAGTTGCATACCTGGGCTGCACCCTGACTAAAGACTGTGGCCACTCTCGCGAAATAAAACACCGAATCGAAATCGCGAGAGGGACATTTAACAAAATGCGAAATATACTATGCAACCTGTCCCTCAACGTCCGCACTAGAATCAGAATCTTGAAATGCTACGTGCTCTCAACCCTTCTATATGGAGCAGAGGCGTGGACCCTTACCGACGCATCATGCAAGCATGTGGAGGCATTTGAGATGTGGTGCTATCGGCGCATGCTTAGGATTTCGTGGGTGCATCGCGTGTCAAATGAGACTGTACTACATCGCATCACCAAGGAGCTGGAGTTTCTGGTAAATGTCAAACGAAGAAAACTAGAATACTTCGGACACATCGTGCGGAACGAGAAATACCGCCTACTCCAACTCATACTGCGATGCATCCACTCAAATCTACGAACATGGACCGGATTGACGTCAACAGCTTTGTTCAGAACGGCAGTGAACAAAGTAATATGGATCAATGTGATATCCAACATCCAAAGAGGATAGGCACTTTAAGAAGAAGATATATTTGACTCACCCTGTATATCTATAAAAATATTTTTGAAATGTGAACTACCATTAAACATATATTTTGTAAAAGGTTTGGAGTGAAAATCTCAAATAGGAATCCTGATACAGAGCTTTTCCGGAAAGCGGAGCCATCTTGTATGTATGCATTTGTATATGTGTGTGTGTTTATTGAAATACTAAAGTGAAAGCAACGAATTTAAATATGTAAACTTTATAATATATCTTATTAACAATACAATGCAAAAAGTTTTATAAAAATTCGTTCACAGTAAATGATCTCATAAGGGCTTAAATCACTCCACTATATTAGGCGTGGACGCAAGTTCAATGCAGTAAATAGAAAAGGAAGTTATATTGTTAAAAATGTACTTAGCAGGAAACACGGCTAATTGCACATTGTAATACAATCTCAGGCTTAGTTACATCGCGGTTTGGAAAATTTAGGTTGACATTCACTCTACGAACGAATATCGAGTACGGAGATGCAGTTAAACTTGAAAAATGCAATTTTTTGACCCAATTTTACGCTCTCATTTGATTTTTCGCGGTTAAATAGCTGATTTTTATAGAATTCTTTTAATTTTTGTCGACATATTTGTGGTTTACTATCAATACGATTCGATTAAACTTTAAAATGTTATATATATACAGGGTTGTTCACCACATACAACACGGAGTATTGTAGCTAAACGATTAGATTTTTACAAATTGTAAGTTTTGGGTTCGTTGAAGGACTATTAGAGCTACAATTTAAAAATATTTTCACAAGATACAGAGTGTCCCAAATAAATAAAAAATATCAAAGTTGTATTTTTTTAAATGGAACACCCTGTATATTATTACATTTTTAGTTTCTACGATTAAAATTAAGGTAAATTTGATAAAGGTTTATTACACTTA